TCAATCCACTTCTCTAACCTTTCCTCGGAAGCTCGGGGTTCCAGGGTTATCATCTGTATCTGTTTTATTAGGTTTCTGTGTCCTTGATGTCCAGGGTCGGCATAGCACTTCGATCTAGTTCCCTGTCTTTTGGGGAAACTCTCTATTGGTTCTTTAAGACCCATACTAAATGCTTTCATCTCTCTGAATTCTTCTTTAATCTCTCCCCAATAGTATGTAGTTTTATTCCTTCCTTGGTAGCAAATCTCCTAAAGTCATCTCTTTTCTGCCTTTTCTTATATCTGCTCTAAAGAACTTAAAGAAGGTAGCATTTTTGTGTCTTTTGAGAGGCTGGCTCTACAATCTGACTTGATCTTTGAGGTGAGGAGGCACAGAGTTGATCTTGACTCAGCATGATTCCATGTGGCAGAGAAGAACTGGCCACAGAGGCGGTTCAATAGGCCCCCAAATCTTTGCTGCTTTCGCTGTTCACCCCTCCTAACCAGCCTTCAAATCTCTAGAGAAGTCTGACATGCTAGCTTGACGGAAGTAAGTTTTCTAGACGTGTACATTAATATTAGTCTATTTACTCTTGGTTTAAGATTTATAGGAGATGATTTAATAAAAACTTTTTTAAAAGGACAGAAAGGAGGCGCAAACCATTGTCACATCAAGGGGAGAGGTTAGGAGGTTAGGTGTCTAGGGACTGATGGTCATCATAAGCCAAGGATTATGCATAGTTTCAGATTTAATCTTTTTGAAATACACATGCATACACACAATCCAGAAATGGTACTTGAGATAGTTTATTGTGCCAGCCTGGCCGATAAACACAAGTGGGATTAACTGAGGGCAGAGAGATAAATGGCTTGGTGAGCCTCGCCTTTCTTGTCATTTGCTCTTGTCATTCGGACCAGTGTGCGGCTGCCTTGCTTGTTCTGTGCCTCAATTTAAAGGCTATACTACCTCTGGGACGCCTAGCCTGTGGACTGTGTCGCTGTAAGTTGAGGTCCCTTTAAGACTTCTCTGGAGCTGTGGACTGGCGTTTGGTGACCTGGCTGGCGGTTGGTGACCTGCCTTGTGATTGGCTGCTGTGCTGACATAGCCTAGCTCTCTCTATAAATAGAGGGAGATCTGGCAGCAGACTAGACTTGAAGGACTGCTAGTCTCTCACAACTCTCTCACGGGAGTGAGTTGCATTGAGGCATTTGTAGTGCTTTATAATTTAACTGTTTATCTCTTGTATTATATATTTATCTGTATATGATTTAACAGTTCACTTCTTGTTGTATATCTAATTATCTTTATACTTATTAAATTATAAGCAATTGGTTTTATCTCTCTAGAGAACCCTGTCTAACACAGTACTGAAAGCTGGAATAGGGAAAGAAGAGCCATTCCTTTGCCCTGTGACTGAAGCAGCGGTTCTCAACCTGTGGGTCGCAACCCCTTTGGGGGTCAAATGACACTTTCACAGGGGTCGCCTAAGACCATTGGAAAACGCATATTTCCAATGGTTGGGGTCACCACAACATGAGGAACTGTATTAAAGGGTCGTGGCATTAGGAAGGTTGAGATCCACTGCTATAGAAAGCAGGATAGGCTTCAGGGAATTTCATGATGCATCTGAAACCATATGACAGGAGGATGTGGAAGTGCATTCTACCAGGTGGATCGAGAAGTGTCAGAAAAGGCCGAGCAAAGCGCTCTGTACTCAAATGAAAGGAGACCCACAGGTGTAAGGGAAGCAGCTTAGTAAAGGGACAAGAACCTGGATTTGGGGATAATGAGACCCAGCTCTGTATTACAGTGCAAACAATTTCTCTGAGACTCGGCGTCCTCATCTATGAAATAGAGGTGGCCCCTGTCTCAGAGAGGCTATCGGGAGAAAAACAAACAACACTGACAAAGTAAAAAGAGCAGTATGTTGTTTTGGAGTTTCAGGGGGGAAAAATCCATCAGCAATTTCTTTACTAATAAAGAGACAGCATTATAATCAAAGTATTTTTAGCTTTAAATACAATTAAGAAAAGTTTGGTAAACTTATGGAGCTATTTTTATACTACGGTTATATAAATGATATAACTATCAAATCACCATTTCTTTCTACATTAATCACTGTTAACATCCCTTAGGTAATTCACCTAAATAATGTTTACCAATCTTTGAAGCATCTAAATGATGTGGTGGTTTTTAGTGGCCTCTGTTCACTCTCATAGCATCGTGAAAGAGGGAGCGGTGGACATCACAGGGGCAGATCGCCAGCACTTTGTCCCCTGGAGCTGCTAGGAGCTGTGAAAGTCAACTGCTGCTTAGCGGCTGAGTGCTGCGCTGCTGTGCCACCAGGGCTCCTTAACTAAACCAGGACCACCCATCTGTATAAGTAGGAGCATAACTCAAATATAGTTGAACTAGGAGAATCATCATTCATCCAAGAATATATTAAAGAACCAGAAATGTATGTGCTCTGAAAATCTGAACATTTTAAGTACTTTTACACCTACCTTGTAATCAATTTGCAGCTAAGATGTAAACTTCTACTCTTGAAGTGAGACACACTAGCACTAGCCACTGTAAGGCCATCTTGTTGACTGCTGAGTGACCTGCCTCCTTCCCCCTCCCATCTCAGAAAATCCCACTAGTGATTGATTTTAGAATGTACTCTTATGTTCTAAAGATCAGAACATTTTAGGCCTGTCTAGATAAGATAGGCTGGATAAACAATCTGGAGGAGAAAACAATGGGACTGACTATTCTGGGGAGACATGTGAGAGGGGGAGGTGGGGGAAAGGAAGTGGTGTTATCAAACCCAGGGACAAGGGAACAAAAGGTGATCCAAAATCAGTGGTGAGGAGGGTATAAGAAGCCCTGTAGAGATTGATCAAGGGCAATGTAACCAAGAGGAATTGAAGAAACTATACTGGGGACTGAACATGATAGTGGGACAAGAGGAAAGTAAAAGGAAATAGAGGAAAGAACTAGGAGGCAAAGGGCATTTATATAGACCTAAATACAGGCATGTACATATGTAAATATATTTATATATGATGATAGGGAAATAGATTTATGTGCATTTATTTATAGGTTTAGTAATAAGGTAGCAGATGGACATTGGGCCTCCACTCAAGTACTCTCTCAATGCAAGAACACTTTGTTCTATTAAACTGGCATTCCATGATGCTCACATTCCTGACACAGTTGCTGAAGACAAAGCAGGTGCATAAGCAAATGTGGTGAAGAAAGCTGATAGTGCCCAGCTATCAAAAGATATAGCATCTGGGGTCTTAAAGGCTTGAAGGTAAACAAGCGGCCATCTAGCTCAGAAGCAACAAAGCCCCCATGGAAGAAGCACACCAGCCTGTGTGATCACAAGGTGCCGAAGAGATCAGGTATCAGGCATCAAAGAACAAAAAAGCATACAATTGTGAATGAGGGGGAGTGTGGAGTGGGGACCCAGAGCCCATCTGTAGACAACTGGACATCCCCTTTCAGAAGGGTTGTGGGAAGATTAGCCAGGCAGGGTGCAGTATAGCAATTATGAAACATACAACTATCCTCTAGTTCTTAAATGCTTCCCCCCACCCACTATCATGATCCCAATTCTACCTTACAAATCCGGCCAGACCGGAGGATGTACACTGGTACAGATAGGAACTGGCAACACAGGGAATCCAGGACAGATGAACCCTCAGGACCAGTGGTGAGAGTGGTGATATAGGGAAGGTGGGATCGAAAGGGGAACCGATTACAAGGATCTACATATAAGCCCCTCCCTGGAGGATGGACAACAGAAAAGTGGGTGAAGGTGTCAGATCTCTCAGGGGAGAGACATACCTCGGTCCTTGGCTCCTTGTGAGAAAGAATTCACACCGAAGCCTGGTTTGTGATCCAAGTGAGTTTACAGAGAATAGAAGCAGTTTCAGGTTCTTCAGTAAATGGAACACAAGCCAGACAGAGTCCGGCACAGTTTTGGGACTGCAGCCCGGCTGGGCTACATCGTGTAGCAGCCGGTGGGAAAGAGAGAGAGTCAGAGCAAACCCTCTGGCCTTTTCAGGGGCCCAGTTGGGAGGCGTGGTCGACAATACTAGTCAACCCCATTGGTAGAATCAAATTCACCTGGCTTAGATCGGCCAATCCAGGTGTAACGCCCACCTAGGTGTACCATCCCTTCCTGGCCGGAAGCTCGATTCTCTGAGCATGTGTAATAGATGCCCAAGTCCCTGTGCTAGCTACCTAACAAAGGGAGACGTCAGACAGTGTAAGACATGAAAAAATAATGATTTATAAATTATCAAGAGTTCATGGCGGGGACGGGGAGGGAGGAGAAAAAATGAGGAGCTGATACCAAGGGCTCAAGTAGAAAGCAAATGTTTTGAGAATGATGAGGGCAATAAATGTACAAATGTGCATGACACAATGGATGGATGGATTGTGATAAGAGTTGTACGAACCCCCAATAAAATACTTTTTAAAAAATCAGAACATTGTAATTAATAATATTGTTCCCTTGGATGTGGTAACCAGGATATTACTATTTCTATTTTATTAACCAGGGTGTTATATTATCATTAATGCTGTACCTATAACACTAACTCTAAAGAATAGTAACGTTAATTTTGTTTTCTGCTTCTGTCCACGCTTGCTTAAGTCCTAGACAAATGATTGGTGAGTTTTTGCCTTTAAAGATGGACTGAAATATCCTCTCAGGACTACAGTCAAGGATTGCTTTTAGATCCTCGCAGTCTGGTTATAACTGAATAAAAGACTCTTTTAAATTTTAAGACATTATAGTGGCTGTCATTTATTTGAACCCACAACAAAAGGAGAAGGTAAAATCTGATATATAAATATATATATAATATATATATATATTTTTTAATATAATATGCTTTCCTTTCACGGTACGCAATTAGTTGCATTATGAGCGTGCATGTGAGGAGTAGTTAGTAAACATATACATGCTGATTGTGACAGTTGCTCTCAGGATATATTAGCAGAAATGCCACATCATCAAATAAAGATCATAGTTTTGCTGGGCTCGTCCCCTCTTCACCACCTATGTGCCTGTGGAAGGAAGTCTGGAGTTGCTTCTGTGTCACCTGGGCCATGGCATGAGCCCTGGACTCCCCTCCCCAGGTGACAGGACTGCCCACCGAGGCTGGGCAAAAGGGGAAGTAAGGAGGCTCAATATGGTGCCCAGTCCCTGGGTAACAGATGATCTGGGGTTTTTCCACACCATGGGTCTGTAACGAGATGCCTCGTTAGCGTAGAACTCACTCTTCCAGTTGTGGTCATCCAGACCAACAAGGAACAGGAAGGTACACTCAGCCCTTTCCACGGGAATGACGCTCTTCTGGTCAGGTCCTTCAGTTGGGCTGTTGAGGGCATCTATGATGTCTACAAGGCCATCTTTGACCACCTTGATCCCATGATAGTTGATATCCACAGGGGGCAAGATCTCATCTTTGTAGTGTAACTCCCCCCCCTACATTGACCACGGAGCCGTTGATTATGGTGGCAGCTGTGATGCCCTTCAAGAATGAAGCCATGGAGATGCAGAGTTCGCCCCCTTTTGAATGTCCGAGCAGCCCAATTCCTGGACCTTTCACCTGAGAAAGGGACAGAAGCAAGAGAAGGAGAGTGAGTCCATGAACAGTGTCATGTGGTGGGGAGTAGTCAGCATTAGAAGTCAGAGATCACTGATTTTGATGTGGTGAAAAGCAGGAAACTGGTAGCTACAAATGGTGTCAAATCAATGTTCACTATAAATTAGCACACACTCAACTTGCTTATTGGGTCAATCTTCCCCTAGATTAATGTATTCTGACATAATTGTCACACAATGGAAAATTTACTTCAAGTTACTGATAAAATGGTATATACCCCAAACCCCTGCCGTGGAGTGGATTCTGACTCATAGCAACCCTCTAAAGGGGTTTTGAGGCTGTACATTGTTATGAAAGCAGACAGCCTCGACTCCTTTCTCAGAGCAGCTTGTGGGTTTGAACCATTGACCTGTGGTTAGTGCTAACAGGGCCCCTTTATTTGGAACACTGAGTCAACAATGCTGACATGTGCCAAATTAAAAATGCTCTATTAAGCCCACATAGTAGTTTGTGGGCGGTGGGCTGCATTGTTAATTTTTTACATCATTTAACTTCCACAGCAAGCCTAGAGGCTAGGAGGCAAGCTGAGCCCCTTTGTGGAATATGAGAGTAAGTCAAAAAGTATTTTTCTTAGGGTTACTGTTCAAACATGCACAGGTTCACACAGAACACCTTTAAACACGTCTCCGCCACCAGTAGATGGCTATAGACGAATCCTTTCAACAGTACTCTTGTCTTAGTCCTGTTATGGTGCCTTCAAAAAAAATAAATACAAGATCCAATCATAGCAATGCCTTCTGAAGGTAATCTTGATAGATTTGTCTCCGAGGACACAAGACAATCGTGGATGGCATATTAGCTGTCAACCACAAGATCAGCTGTTTAAAACCACCGGCTTCACCTCCAGAGGACAATGAGGCTCACAGCTCTCATAGAGATTTAACTTCAGGAAACCACAGGGACAGTTCGCCTCTAGGGCCACCATGGGTTAGAATGAACTTGATGGCAGTGAATTTGGTTTTTTTGTTTTTGTTTGCGTTTTTGGTTACTATAAAGAAGTTTTAAGAAAATTGTAAACTGCATTGGTGAGAAAAGGAAATTGTAATGAAGAATTTTTTCCCCATCACAATAATGAACTTGCTCATTCGTTAAGGGTAGCAAAAGCTGACACAGGAGAATTTCGTTGGGAAACCTTACCCTACCCACCTTGTCTGCCCCTTCAGACTACTTTTTGTTCCCCAAACTCAGAGAACATTTCAATAGAGCATCCCTCCAGGGTGCCCAAACTGCCATTTTGATGTTAGGTTACATCAAAGAGTGCAGAACTCTGTGAGGCAGGGTGAGAGAGATGGGAACTGCCTTCCTCAGTGTTAAGGCCTACTTGGGAGGAGATGTTGACAAATAATAACTGCACATTTTGTTTGGTAATGAGGCCTATGATTTTGTAGCAATGCTTCCTGACTTGTCCTCATAGCCCCAAGTTCATATAACCACAAAGCAATAACGCTACAAGGGTGACTAATCACCTTGGTTTTCCTAGAACCAAAGGTCAGCAAGTCGAATCTGCACAGAGCTACCTTGAAGGAAAGCCTGGGGATCTCACAATGGTAAACCTGCCAGCGTGGCTCCCAATGGTCGACCGCAGTTTTGGTTTCAGCCCTGAAAACTCTGTACCCCGGGAAACCTCTGCCTGGGGTAAACCAGGATGGTGGTCATCCTACTGGGGACCCCTGTGCCTTATAAGACACCTCCCAGCTCTGAAGTCCATGTTTTTCTTTGAACTTGAAAGGACAAAAGATTTCAATTTATCACAGACTGTATCGCCGCTCCCCTTCCCTGACCTCCAGTGGGAGGAATCTGCTGTCTAAACCAAAACACGAAGACAAGAGCCAACCTCAGGGTGACTGAGCAGGTAGTTCCCAGCCTCTTTAAAGTACTCCAGGTGCAGGGTCTTCATGTTCTTGGGAAGGTCTTCGTACTTACAGTAAACCAGAGCCATCGCTGCAAAACCGGCCCAGCCAGCTGTCTAGCTCAGGCCACCTCCAGCTCCAGAAACGTCCACGACCCCAGGAAAGGGCCAGGTCCCTGGGAAGAAACAAAATAGAGATCTAGTCTTCAAATGGCTTTGGAATCGGATCCTTTGATTTACTGGGGCGATGGGTAGGGATGGTTTAGCCTCCTTCCCTATCTTGAGATAAGGACTCATTTTCATGTTGAGTTTATGGAATCCCTTAACAGCCAAATCATTTGCTTTGTCTCCTCATTCCTGAAATATAATCCCTTTAAAAAACAAAAACAAATAAACCATGGAATTTCTTTAAGGGTTTAAATGTCCTTGATAAGGTCTATAGACCTGACAGGCTATTATTCTGGAGAGGCAATTCTGGCTGAAGGTTGGCCAGGCCAAGTGGGCGTTGTCGCAAGATGATTATCTCTTGGTGGCTGGGCCAGAGAACCCCCACCTCCTGACATGAACCGCCTCAAGGGACAGAGGATGGAGTTTGCATTACATGTGGGGACTGAGACCCTCCAGCCACAGCTTGGCCGGCTGGTGTTATAGAACTAATAGACGTGGGAGTGAGGATGTGTTATATTCTTGTCTTCATCGTGTTGTGTTAGTGGAACCCAGAGTGGAGGCCCACTTCTCATGAAAAAAGTCCAAGTGGGGAGATCTTACCCCTCCTCCTGACCCAGACTCCACCATTGTGCCATGTCACCTGGTCCTCGAATACTGCCGGAGTGAGACAACGGAGAGTTTAGAATTGACTCAGGGCAGTAACCGTGAGTAGCCAGCATCAATGTCAATGGTGGCATAGGTGCTGTGTCCATGGCCGGGCTTCCTGCTTCTCAACTTCCCTTGGAGCCTCTCACTTTTCCAAGGAAACTGGGTTTCTGGTCGATTGTGTTCTGCAACCAAAAAAATCAAGCCAGTTGCCACTGAATCCATTCCGACTCATGGGGAATGTTGTGAGGTCAGCTAAATGACAGCCACTATAATGTCTTGAAATTTAAAAGAGTCTTTTATTGGGTGATAACCAGACTGCAAGACTCTAAAAGCAACTAGACTCCTTGATTGCAGTCCCAAGTGGACATTTCAGTCCATCTTTAAAGGCAAAAACTCATTTATCATTTGCCTAGGACTTAACCAAGCATGGACAGAAGCAGAAAGCAAAATTAATGTTATTTTTCTTCAGAGTTCGTGAACATTACAGGGTACAGCATTGATGATAACATCCTGGTGAATAAAATTAAAATAGTAATGCCCTGGTTACCACATCGAAGGGAACAATATTATTAATTATAATGTCTGATCTTGAGAACATAAGAGTACATTCTAAAATCAATCACTAGTGGGATTTTCTCAGATGGGAGGGGGAAGGAGGCAGGTCGTTCAGCAGTCAACAAGATGGCCTTACAGTGGCTAGTGCTAGTCTGGCTCACAACTCCGTGAGTTGGAATAGAATGTGCTCCACCTCATTGTCAGTGATCGACTTTTTGGGGAAGTCGACTTCCAGATCTATCTTCCAAGGTGTCTCTGCGTGGACCCCAACTCCAACCTTTCCGTTAGCAGCTGAGTGCGTATGTTAATGGTTAGCAATACAGTCCTTTCCTATTTAAGTCACCCAACATCTGCAACTCAGAACTCTAATTTAGCTTCCAAGTACTGTGATGTCATCTCTGCTGTCTTTCTGAAAACACCTCCAAATTCTTAGATGACATGTTGACATGCTATAAGGCCTATGATTTTCCAGATTGCATTCAAATTGAATCCATGTTTCATCTATGCCCACTGTCTCAAAGCCCTAAGTCTCTAAAATTCAATTAAAATCTTAATTAGCAAGAAATAGACTACCTGGAATGCTTCCCATGATTTTAAAAATTCCAAGAACATAAGATAACAACATTCATACCACTTGCAACCCATTAGCCGCCCTCCCTCCCTCCTTGTCTTTCCACCTGCTGTTCTGACTGCCTGGAAAGCCTGCTGTCATGCTAGACTTCCAGCAGCCGCCCTCAATCAGCCCTGCGCTCTTTCAGACCTGCCGCAGCTCGTGCGCCTCCACCCCAAAGGGATCTTTCTTAGAGCTGCCCTGTGCAGACGTGTCTAACTGTCTGATTTGGGACATTTTTTCTGAGTTTTCTCTGCCCTTCCTAAACTATGAAGCATGCTCCCTGCCCTGCCTATGTCTGCAGGCTACTGTGAAAAATAACAGGTTTCTTTTAAGTGAAAACAAATAACTGGGGGTGGGAATGGGGGACATTTTTGTTCCTTGTATAAAAAGACTGACTCTCAGAAAATGGGTAGTTTTCTTTGATAGCTTCTATTTTTTGGTGCCCCAAACTCCAAGACTTCTAAGGCCCTTGTAGAACATGCAAACACTTGTAAGCAAATGCAATTAAAAAGCTATTAATTATAATTACTATTCATACAGAATCAATTCAAATCTGAAATTAGCCTTTGAATAGAAATGACTAGTTTATCTCAAAAAAGCTTTTTAAACTCTAAGGAATCTTTTGAAATATTAAACACCAAATTGTCTGACTGAATATTTTTCTTAATTTTAATAAGCCTCATTTATCTTTCATTATTTATAAAATGAAAATATTAGTATCTACCTACTAAGGGTACTTTGTATATTACAGGAGAATTCATGTAAGTGATTTATGTCTCAAAGTCTTCTCAATAAGTATGTAGGACGGGGATCAGAGCGGAGATCCAAAACCCATCTGTAGACAATAGGACATCCCCTCACAGAAGGGTCACAAGGAAGGGATGAGTCAACCAGGGCGCAGCATAGCACTGATAAAACACACAATATCCCTCTGGTTCTTCGAGGCTTCCTCACCCACCACTATCATGACCCCAGTCTTGCCTTTCAATTCTGGCTGGACTGGAGGTTATACAGATAAGAGCTCAGGACACACGAAATCCAGGTCAGACAGACCCCTCAGGAATAGAAATGGGAGTAGCGAAACCAGGAGGGTAGGGGAAAGCTTTGGGAGAAGGGAAGAAGGGGGAACCAATCACAATGATCAGGGCATAACAAACACCACCACCACGCCAACCCAGGGGGGGATGCATAACAGAAACCTGGGTGAAGGGAGACAGCCATTGGTGTGAGACATAAAGATAATAATAATAATTTATTATTTATCAAGGGGGTCACAAGGGTGTGGGGCGGGGAGGGGAAAAAAGGAGCTGATACTGAGACAGACTAGCACTAGCCACTGTAAGGCCATCTTGTTGACTGCTGAACAACCTACCTCCTTTCCCTTCCCATTCAGAAAATCCCACTAGTGATTGATTTTAGAATGTACTCTTATGTTTTCAAGATCAGAACATTGTAATTAATAATAGTGTTCCTTTTGATGCTGTAACCAGGATATTACTATTTTAATTTTATTAACCAGGATGTTATCATCAATGCTGTACCCTGTAACATTCACTAACTCTAAAGAATATTGGCATTAATTTTGCTTTCTGCTTCTGTCCATGCTTGCTTAAATCCTAGACAAATGGTAAATGAGTTTTTGCCTTTAAAGATGCACTGAAATGTCCACTTGGGACTGCAACCAAGGAGTGGCTTTTAGATTCTTGCAGTCCAGTTATAACCTCTGGTTATAATCAAATAAAAGAATCTTTTAAATTTCAAGACATTATAGTGGCTGTAATTTATTTGAACCTGCAACAGTTCCAAGGGCTCAATAGAAAGTAAGCATTTAGAAAATGATATGGCAACACATGTACAAATATGCCTGGTACAATTGATGAATGGATTGTTATAAGATCCATAAGAGCCCCCAATAAAATGATCTTTAAAAAATCTTTACAGGAGCAGATAGCACCATCTTTCTCGCATAGAATGGCTAGTGGGTTTTAACCACTCCCCTATCAGTTAGCAGTCCAATATTTATTCCACAGTGCCTGGGTAGGTCAGTGCTAATTTAGGTGAAGGGCAAGGCAACATACAAGAAGGGGAAAGGTGGCAAAAGCTGATAAAAGCAGGGCAAGACATTGGGAGGTTTGCAGGAGTTAAAGGCAACACAGGCAAATATGTACTGCAGTGATAGCGCTCTACAAGTAGATGCTAGGATAGACACACAGACTGAACAGGTATGGGAGGGAGAGGAAGCTTATATCCATGAACAGATATAGATATGCATGTGGATATGTGAGGTAGTTATTGTGCCAACTTGGCCGATAAACACATCTGGGATTAACTGAAGGACGGAGAGATAAATGGATTGGCAAGCCTCGCCTTTTTTGTCTCTTGCCTTTGATCATCGGACCAGTGTGTGGCTGCCTTGCTTGTTCTTTGCCTCAATTTGTAAGCTATACTACCTGTGGGACACCTAACCCATAGACTGTGTCGCTGTAATTTGAGGTTCCTTCAAGACTTGCTTTGCCACACCATTGGAATTTACATCTCTTGAGCTGGGGACTGTCAGACCCTGTCATCTGGCTGACTGTTGGTGACCTGCCTTGCTGTTTGCTGCCTGTGCCCGGATAGCCTGAATCTCTACAGAGGACTACCCAGTGGACCTCAAGACTTGAAGGACTGCCAGTGTCTCACAACTGTCTCACGGAAGTGAATTGCACTGAGCCATTTGTACTGCTTTATAATTTAGTTAACTGTTTATTTCTTATGTCCTATATCTATCTATCTGTATAAACATATATAAAATTATTAGCATTCTAGTTTTGTTTCTCTAGAGAACCCTGTCTAACACAATATGGATATGGCTATAGATATTTGACAGAAGTATATGTGTAAATACTGTTGCTGAAAATATATATCCATAACTGTGGTAGAGCATACAGGGGACAAAGTTATGAAAACTTCTTAGCCATAACCAAACATGCTGGGGGGATGAGAATCTGGGGAGCAGAACCATAGCCTCGAGAGTCACCAACATCACTTGGGATAGCGCAGTTCACAAAGACAATGCTCTACATCCTACTTTGGTTAATAGTGACTGGATTCTGGAAAGCTCACGAATATCCATCTAAAGTGCAACTATCGGTGTCTCTTCATCCAGAGGGCAGAATCATGAAAGCCAAAGGATACTGGAAACATTTAGTCCAATGGACTAATGGACCACAGGAACCACAGTCTCCATAATGCAGAGACCAGAAGCACTAGATAGTACCTGGCTATGGTGACCACCTGCCTTGAAAGGGATCACATTAGAAGATTCCGGATGCAAAATCATAAAAGAGACCAGGCAAACTGGTTCGATAGAGGCTCGTGGGACCCCCCAAGACTGTTACCAACCCAGGTTTCTCTTGGCACAACTCAGAAACAAAGACTGAGAAGAGATGAAAGTGAAAGGGGAAAGCTTTACTTTGCTTGATCAAGAAAGGAAAAAACACAGGACTAGGCTCAGCAAAGCAAGCTCCCCCAAATGAGATTTTCAGTTTTATGTGTACCCCAGGAATCAAATCGACGGGATTATGAATATGTAGCAGATTTCCCAGGAATGGCCATGAGCATGCATTAGGGCGGGGTTCTGATGCTTCACAGGTTATGGTTTATCAGATCTTTCACTTGCAAATGTCTGCCTGGTTGGTTTGGTGGTGTCTTTCTGGCGAAGCTTCCTTGGTTCCTTGATCAAAGTACTTTTGTTCTGGGGTGACCAGAAGGTTGTGGCTCTCCTTTTGTTTGTGCACATGGTCCTGGGGCCAGCTCTGTTCTTCACCGATACGCAATTGTTATGATGGGGTACTTTCCAAGAAGAAAAGAGCTCAAAAGAGACAGGTTGTCATGAAGAAAAGTACAGGTTCATGCTGGGAAATAATAGATGAGAAATACATATTCCAACATCCTGTGACAACATCTCATACCTAAAGGGTAGGCTCCTTGAGTAAGCTGTGGAATTGACAACATTACACAGACGGTAAGCAGGTTGGAGAGCGGTCTGGCCCTTACCCTTCTGGTCCAGAGCTGAACTCACCTTTGAGCATGAATCCTCAATCATTGAAGGTGAAAGGAGCAGTATTTACCCAAAGACAAAGGTCTGAGAGTTCGCAGAGAAGGGAGAATGGAAACAGAAAACAAAGGGAGAAAGTGGGGATTATATGACATGAGTTGAAATAAAATGTGAATGAATTGTTGAAGGTAAAAATGGATGATCTACCGTGTAAACCTCCACACAGTGATTGCATTGTTTTATAATCGCATAGGGTTCCAGTCTACCAGCACCCTCTAGCATTTGTTACTATTTGTTTTTTAACTTGGCAGTCACTCTCTGGGTTAGGCAGTACGCACTGTTTTGATTTGTATCTCAAAGCCTCTGGAGCATTTCCTCATATGTGTATTCGCCTCCTGAATTTCCTCTTTGGTGAACTGTTTGTCCATGTCATCTGCCCATTTTTTCCTTTGGGCTATTTGCCTTCTCTTGTTGAGGTGTCGAAATGTTCTATATATGTTAGAGATTAGTACCTTGCTCATTATGCCATTGCCAATTTTTTTTCCCTGTCTGTGGGTTCTCTTTCTATTCTTTCAGCAAAATCCCACCCCCACCCCACCGTCAAGTTTCAGATGTTTGTTATTCATTGTAAACCCTAACATGATACTACAGCATCATTTCATGGATTTAGGGGTAATGATATCCTGGCTAAGTGGGAAATTGTGCAGATGACTTCTGGAACACCTTTATTATGAACAGCTGTGGAAAATATTTCATTTAGAAATAAGGGCCCTCTTTCTTCAGCTTGCTGTAATTCACATTCACTGAGTAGAACTTGTATTGATCTTTGGGACCCACTTTATTCTATAGTTCTGGGTTGTTCTTTTTGTCCCAACTAATATGACTTAAACAATGCCAGGTGCGTGACATACAGTGCTGCTCCTGAGCCTCCAGATCCAATAAGTATGCAGCAAGATACCCAACTCAAGTGCTCACCTTATCATTTGATCTCCCTTGAAATCCATTTTAAATTTGTTCTAATTTTTAATATGTTCCGCTTTCTTTGTGTTTGAGGCTCTACTGTTTTACTCTGCAATTGTTAGGGTTGTCTGTTTTTAATGTTTTTCTGTCTATGGGATCCAGGATAGGTACATCTATAGAGATAGTATCTGAATTAACGATTCCTTGTGGGGGTGACACAGGAGTGGTGGGTATGAAGTGGAAAGCTAATAGTGATGAGTACAAGAACAAAGAAAATGTCCTAAGGTGATTGTGATGATGACTGTACTACTATTCTTGAGGTGAATAAACTATTGATTTGTATGATATGTGAATTAAATGACAATAAAAAGAAACTCGGGTGCTTGTTCTGACCAAGGATCTGGAGGAGCATGTCTGTGGCTGTGGCCTTGGGTCCAGTAGGAGAGAACGTATTCAGCAGGCCCAGGACCTCGGTCTCTCTGCACAGGGATATTGTAGGCATCCAGAGTCACCTGGTGAAATCTTTTGACGCACTGCCAAAATCAACCCATTAGCATCAAGTTCGTTCTGACTCATAGCAACTTTATATGTGGTTTAAAGCCTGTAAATCTTTATGGGAGCAGATAGCTTCATCATTCTTCGCAGGAGTAGCTGATGGGTTTGAACTGCTAACCTTATGGTTAGCAGTCTAATGCTTACCCAACAGTGACACCAGGGCCAGCACATGCTAGCATCTCTTAATGCACATAAGTGTCTAATTTTTCAGGAAGTCTCAATTATTTTATCTTCTGCTGTTGTAGGTTTTTTGTTTTGTTTGCTTGCTTGTTTTTAATTTGATAGTTCTTAATGCCCTGTATTAGGGCACCTACGTTTGTCCCTATTTTTTCATCTATCATCTTTATAGTTCTAGGTTTTACATTTGGGCCTTTAATTCATTTTGAGTTCAGTTTTGCGCATGATGTGATATGGGTCTTGTTTCATTCTTCTGCAAATGAATATCCTATTTTGCCATCACCATTTGTTAAAAACACTATCTCTTCCCCATTTAGTGTTTTATAAGTTGATAGATTGACCTCTTGGGTTCTCAGTTCTGTTCTGTTGGTCTATGTACCTATCATTATACCAGTACCTGACTGTTTTGGCTACCATGGCTGTGTAGAAAGTTTTGAGATTAGAAAACAAGATACCTACTTTATTTTTCTTTAGTAGTACTTTTCTTATCCTGGGTCTATTTTCTTTCCATATAAATTGATTAGTTTTGCTATCTCTTTAAAGAATGATGTAATATGGATCAGATTGCATTATATCCACAACTCGGTTTGGGTAATATTAGTATTTTTATCATGTTAAGTCTTTCTATCCATGAGCATGGTATATTCTTTCATTTATGTAGGTCTCCCTTGTTTTCCTGCAGTAATGTTTTGTAGTTTTCTTTTTAATATGAAAACTATGTAGTTTTTAAAATATGGTTACATTTATTCCTAATTATTTCATCTTTAGGGTGGCAATTGTAAATAGTATTGTTTTCTTGATTTCCTTTCCAAAGCTCTCTTGGCTAGTATAAAGGAATCTGATTGATTTTGTATGTTAAGCTTGTACCCTGCCACTTGGCTGAATCTTTCTACTTGTTCCAACAGATTTTTTTTTTTTTCAGAATCTTTGGAATTTTCTATGTATGGGATCATAGAAAATTTGATAGTTCTTAATGCCCTATCTGCAAATAAAGATATACTTCCTTGCCCATTTGAATGTCTTTAATTTTCCTTTACAATGGACATACTCAATATCAGCAGATAAAACCAGGCCACGGGTTGACTGTGGAACAAACCATCAATTTCTCATAAGTTCAGGTTGAAGTTGAGGAAAATGAAAACAAGTGCACAAGATCCAAAATATGAGTATGAGTATATCCTAGCTGAATTTCAAGAACATCTCAAACAGACTTGATGCACTAAACATCAATGCCAGCAGACCTGATGAGCTGTGGGGTGACATCAAAACCGTCAAACAGTGTCAATGGGAACAGACATCAGATGTTCAAAAATAAACAACCTCATCGAGGTGATGGAGAGGGATCAAGGTGGAGACCCAGAATCTGTGAATAATTGGACATTCCCGTTCAGAGGGACTGCATGGAGGAGAAAATGCATCCAGGGGGCAGTTTAGTGCCGATGAAAAACACAACACTTCTCTGGCTCTTTAATCCTTCCTCCCCACACTATTACGATCTCAGTCCTACCTTGCAAATCCCACTAGACCGATGTACATACAGTGGCACAGACAAAAGCTTTCAATATACAGAACTCAGGAAAGACAAATCCCCTCAGTATCAGTAATGGGAGTAACAATTCCAGGAGGGTAGGGAAGGGAAAGGGGAGGAGGAGAGGGAAGGGAAAACATATAGCAATGATGGAAGAATAACCCACCTCAAGGGGGATGAATACCAGGATAGTAGGTGAAGGGATAGAATGGATGGTATAAGATATGTGTAATAATTGCATAATCTGTTGTCAATTTGAGACTTAAGAGGGAAGGGGTGGCGTTTACTTGTCAATCAATTCAGTTTGATGACCTTATTTGGAGGCACTAAGGAGATAAATAGCTCGCTGGAGGCAGGACACATGCACACGGGAGACATTCCAGCTGATAAGACACAGGGAGCTACACTAGTACCTTGAGCTGGAGGAGCCATGTAGAGACCCCTGTCAGTCCTGAGATGCTTACACTGTCACTGGATCCACAAGACTTTCCACCCACTGGCCTGTGATCTTCCTGCATTCAGCATCATTTCATATGTTTCATGAGTCTGAAGAGGACTTTATAGATATCGAACATATGGGTTAATATCAGACTTATAGACTTGATCTGGACTGGGCTGGGAAGTTTTCTCAATATTCAATTGCTCTAGTATATAAAGCTCTTTCTTATACATACATGAATGTCTCCATGAATTTGTTTCTCTAGTCTACCCAGACTGAGACAATATGTATAAATAATAATAATAATACATAATATATTAAAGATTCGTGAAAGTGGCAGGGTGGGGGAGGCAGGGGGGAGAAGAGGAGCTGATATCAAAGGGTCAAGAAGAAAGATAATGTTTAGAAATTGTAGACTCCAACAATTGTACATCTTGCTTGATATAATGGACGTATGGATTATTATAATATATGTAAGAGCCCCCAATAAAATGATTTATAAAAATAATAACATTCTTTTTATTTTCTATTTTTTTAAATGATTTTATTGGGGGCTTGTACAACTCTTAACACAATCCATGCATACATCCATTGTGTCAAGCACATTTGTAGATTTGTTGCGCTCATCATTCTCAAAACATTTGCTTTCTACTTGAGCCCTTGGTATTAGCTCCTCATTTTCTTCCCTCCCTGCTCGCTCCACCTCCCTCACAAACTCTTGATAATTTGTAACTTATTAATATTTTGTCATGTCTTACACTGTCCAATGTCTCCCTTCACCCACTCTTCTGTTGTTTATCCCCAAGGGAGGGGTTTATATGTAGATCCTTGTTATTGGTTCCCCCTGTTTATCCCACCTTCCCCTTACCCTCCTGGTATAGCTATTCTCATTATTGGTCCTGAGGGGTTTATCTGTCCTGGATTTCCTGTGTCTCCAGTTCTGATCTGTACCAGTGCACATCATCTGGTTTAGCCAGATTTATAAGGTAGAATTGGGATCATGATAGTGGTGGGGAAGGAAGCATCAAAGAACCAAAGGAAAGTTGTATGTCTCATAGCTGCTACACTGCACCCTGACTGGCTTGTCTCCTCCCAGCAACCCTTCTGTAAGAGGATGTCCAGTTGTCTACAGATGTGTTTTGGGGTCCCACTCCGCACTCCCCTTCATTTACAACGATATGATTTTTTGTTCTTTGATTCCTGATACCTGATCCATTCAACACCTCGTAGTCACACAGGCTGGTGTGCTTTTTCCATGTGGGCTTTGTTGCTTCTCAGCTAGATGACCACTTATTTATCTTCAAGTCTTTAAGACCCCAGATGCTATATCTTTTGATAGCTAGGCACCATCAGCTTTCTTCACCACATTTGCTTA